TCAGGTCTCCTCTGTTTGAGAGATGGGGGTGAGTGAAATGTACAGAGCTCCATGCTTCTCCATCTTGCCCTGCATTCCTGTCTTTCTTTAAATAAATAGATAAACTTTAAAAAGAACGGAGACTAATGAGTTCAGTGGATGATTCAAGATCATACAGCAGGTGGGGCGCCTCGGTGGCTCAGTTGGTTAAGCGTCCGACTTGAGCTAAGGTCATGATCTTACCATTTGTGGGTTTGAGCCCTGCGTTGGGCTCTATGCTGGCAGCTCAGAGCCTGGAGCCTACTTTGGATTCCGTGTCTCCCTCTCTCTCTGACCCTCCCCTACTCACGCTGCCTCTCTCTTTCTCTCTCTCTCTCTCTCTCTCTCTCAGAAATAAATAAAAAACATTTTTAAAAATTAAAAAAAAATCATATCGCAGGGTCCTAGGATATTAGTTCACAAAAGGCCTAAGTGCTCAGTACTCACTTGCTGGGAACTTCGTACCTGAGGAGCTTTTAAAAATTACTGATGTTTTAGGGGCACCTCGGTGGCTCAGTTGGTTAAGCGTCCGACTTCGGCTCAGGTCATGATCTCACAGTTTGTGGGTTCCAGCCCCACATCGGGCTCTGTGCTGACAGCTAGCTCAGAGCCTGGAGCCTGTCTTCGGATCTGTGTCTCCCTCTTCCTCTGACCCTCCCCGGCTCACTCTCTCTCTCTCTCTCTCTCAAAAATAAAAAAAAAATTAAAAAATTTAAAAAAAAATAAAAATTACTGATGTTTTAGTTATACCCTTAGATATTTTTGCTTTAATTTTTGTGGACTGGAACCCAAGCACCGATATCTTTAAAAGCTCCTCAGAAGATTTTAGTGAACGACTGTAGTTAAGCACCAGTGACCTCAGGGCCCCAGGGTGACTCAGTCGGTTAAGCTTCCGACTTCAGCTCCGGTCATGGTCTTATGGTTTGTGGGTTTGAGCCCTGCACTAGGCTGTGGGCTGACATCTCAGAGCCTAGACCCTGTTCTGGATTCTATGCCTCCCGTCTCTCTCCCCCTCCAGTCTGTCTGTCTGTCCTTCTGTCTCTCTCAAAAATAAATAAACGTTAAAAAAAGAACCAATTACTCACTAAAATCTATTTTGCAGATGAGAAAATTGAGATTCTCTGTGATAGAATGACTGGCCCAAGCTAGTTAATAACGTCAGAGACAGGGATAGACTCTGAAGACAGAAAGGAGATAGTCTTAAAATTCTAGTAAATTAACCAGTAAGAGGCACATATCACGATGAGAATTATGTCTCCTGCAAGAAGAAAGAACAACATGGCTTTAGCCTGTTCTATGATTAATGTACCTATAAGGAAGCACAGACAATGGGTTCAGAGAAATGGGTGTGGCTGGAGTACCCTATGGCTTACTTGAGGCCATTAACCACTTATGCCCCACGCAGTTCAGCTGTTGCTTTCTGGGTGAATGTTCAGTGCTCATCTGAAACTGAATTGGCTTCTGAAGTCTGTTTCCCAGAGGGAGAAAAGGGGACCCTGGTTATCAGGGCCTTTTCTGACACCTCCCCAGCCCCCACTCACTATGGGAATATTTGGTTTGTTGTTTTATTCATTCCCTACTACTCCTAATGGGAATAGAATTACACAGGCCATCATCCCAACTGAGACTCATCCCATGTAGGGAGAGTGAATCTAAAGCAGTTAAACTTTTCTGTGCTTCTAATTTCTCACTCAGAATCAGGGTACCACAGAGGTTTTTTCGGTTCTTAATGCAAAGGAGTGAAAGCTGTGCCTTCCTCTTTAAGCTAACCTAGTCCCCTCCTGCTGCCAGGCACAGAATGGTCATGGTGGTCTTTGCTGTCCTGTCTGTGGAAGAGTGTCTGCTAGCCAGCCCTTCCCACATCCAGCCTGCCTCCTGGGCGAAGTTTCAAAATACAGCCAGTTACTTAAAATTGGTGATCTCTTATGTCTCTCAACATTTACTGAAGAAGTTGGCAGAAGCTAACAATGACTTGGTGTCTACTGTTAAACCTAGTTTACAGTGCCCTCCTCAACTGCACAAAAACTCTGTTGAAATAGTTTATCACTTACCTGACTTGTGAAATCATATCCACAGACTAAGAGGAATAGGGAGTCCTTTTACCATACAAATGCTAAACTACGCAGCTTTCAATTTTAGTTATGAAGAAGTAAAATGTTTTCAGTTTTTTTTTTCATATTGAATGATTGCTCAGTTTTCCCAATGTCTCTTTATATCAGTCTGAAGGAAGAAAAGGGGAAAACGCTGGGAGAAGGAGGGAGTGTTGTTCAACTGAAGCTGAAGCAAGCTTCAAGTCATGTTATCTGATCTGTGTAGCAATTAGGAAAGACTCATGATGAAAAGAGGGAGTTGGACTAAAAGGAAGTATATACGCTACACAGGAAAACCAGTTTCAAAAATCCTCTTCTGAATGCAACAACCATTGATATTGTTCATTTGTACTTAGTAGGATTTGAAGGAAGCTCAGGGATTACCCAATCCATTGTTGTCTTATGGATGAAGAAAGCAAGTTGGAGAAGTTGTGTTACTTGACCAAAGGCCAGAATTATGTCTCTTTTAGGCATAACTGCTTTATACCTATATATTTTTAGGTTGAACATGATTTTTCAGCACCACACCTTTAAGTAAGTCAAGGTGTGCCACTGAAAGACCATTTATATAATCTGAGAAAGTAGAAATTCCCTACTTTGACTGGGCCAAAGCTCAAGATTCACTACTAACTCCCCTCTTTCTTACCACCAGCCTTCCCAACCTCCAGACTCAAGAAACTCTCGATAAATTTGGAATTCAACCACCCCAAAGTTTGCCTGTAGTTGAGCAAGATGTTTCTCCATCCAAATTAGTAAACCAGACCAGTCTACCAAAGGAGATGGTAATCTGAATGAATAAAAAATATATCTCTATTTATCCTAACTTTTCATGACTTTTTAAAGGATTGTCATCATTCATTCCCAATTTCTTTCAATTAAAACACAATTTACATAGAGTTCACAAATCGTAAATGGAGAGCTTGATGAATGGTGACATATAACCACCACAAAGATCGTGGTACAGAACATTTTTGGCATCTGAGAAGGCTCCCAGTCTATAGTAATCCCCATTTTGCTGACCTCTACCATCATCTATTCATTCTGGTTTGAGAATGGAACCTTACAGTTTGTACTCTTTTGTGCATAGCTTTTAAAAGTCTCTATCATATTTGTGTGGTCCATCTATGTTTTTGTAATATATCAGTAGTTCAAGGTTTTTATTGCTGTCTGTAGTATTCAGTTTCATGGATTTATCATGTTCTATTTACCCATTGCATTGTTGAGGGACCTTTGAAGTGTTTCTAAAGCTTTAGGATATTATTAATTAAAGCAGTTATAAATGGAAATGGCCTTCCTTTCTGTTGAATATATACCTACGAGTGAAATTCATGGGCCTTTTTGTTTATTTGTTTTTCTTACATTATCAGTTTTGTTTGTTTTGTTTTTGTTTTTGTTTGTTTTTAGCCCTGGACCATAATCTAACTGTCCTAAGTTGGCCTGTGAACCATAACAATGTACCTCTCTTTGGGCCTGACAGGAGTTTCAGGGGGCAGGTTTCACAGTTTAGAATGGAACACCAGTAAGGTATTATCTTTCATAATTCATTCCCCACAGCCCTTCATAACCTCCTTCACTCTGGGGTTTTTGTCTGGAACTCTTCTATTCTCCCTTGATTAACTCCTTTTTCTTTGATGAGGCTTAGCTCATGCCTTCTCTGACCATCCTGAAATGGATGCCTCTTTTCCTTACTCCCCCTGTCTGCTCTTACTGCTTAAGTATGTCTTTCCTAACCCTCATCACCCTGATCTGAAACCATCTGTGGATACAGCAGCCTCTTCCACGAGGCTTTAAGTGCTACAAGGGAGTTCGCTCATGATGGCATCCCCACTGCTTAGCACAATGCCTGGCACAATGTCAGTGCCCAATCTGTATTGACAAAATTGCTCTTCTACTGTCCGGTGGGTGTTTAAGTAACGAAATCTTCTTTTAAATCACCTGATACAAAGGAAACCCTCTGGGATTGAGAAACTTGCAATGCAATTTAAAGGGCAAAATTTCCATTGCCTTATGATCTCATCTTTTTAATTCAGCATTTGCCATTCGAATATTCTCTGGAGTTGGTCTCTGAGAAATGATGCTGAATAAGAGATCAATGTTGGAAGCCAGTTACTCATCCAAGCGAGCCAGCAAGTGTAGTGGTTTAGTATACAGGTGCTGGGGGCAGACTGCCAGGCCACCCTGGGTGGTGATGACGTTTCCTCCTTGCTTCCATTTCCTCCTCTGTTCCACAGGGGGAAGAGCAGCCCTGTTCCCCGAGTTTTTGTCAGAATTCACTGATTGGTACACCAAGCGTTTAGGAGACTTTACTGAGTGTCCAGAATCTGCCAGTTACTATTATTAAACAGGTTTTCTTTCTACCTACTAGAAAATCACAGAAGAGCACAACTCAGAATATACTTGGGGAAATTCCTGTGTCATCAACTTAAAAGAATGTGAGCATTTTCTGAACCAAAATTGGGACACTGGTTTGATGAGTGTAACTGTAACTTGCAGCACTGAGACATAGCATTTCAAAGGACTGTTTTAGCAAACCTACAAGCAAACAATTGACAAGATCTCTATGTAACTACATTTTGAAATCTCCTTTTAAAAAAATTTGAAGCACAAGTGCAAAAATGACTTTTACTGGTTTTGAAGTGAAGACTACTCTTTATGTATATTGCACAGATAAAAACAAGCATCTGGGCTTCATGCATCACTTTCTGATTTAGTTGGGGAATTATTACTTGATAACGATGAAGGGCTGAACTTCCTTTTACAAAATCTCACACCATTTATCTTAATTCTGGTGCATCTGATAAGAACTTCCTCTAGAGTCAGGAAACTTTGCACGTATGAAATAATCTGAAAGGTGGAGGTAAAGAAGGAAGTAACTGACCAAAGCAAAAAAGAGGAACATCAAAGCAGGCTTAACCAAAAGAACAGAAGGCAGCTTGGCACAGCAGTCTCAAGGTAAGAACCTGATTTAAGGTGCAGGGCTAATGAACAGCTGTAAGAAACAAGTTCATTTTAAATAATCAGAGACTTATTTTATGTTACCAGACACAGTTTTTAGACGGCTTTAAGTGGTGATAGGGGGAAGAATCAGTTTACAAACAGAGGGTGATGTTATTGTCTCTTTACCAGTATATATGCTTACATGTGTAAGATTAGGCTTTGTTCTTACCTTGTTTCCAAACACAAGGAGAGTATCTGCCTTTGAAAATTCCAAAAGTCTATCAACCATTTTCAGACAAGTGAATAATTGTTAGTTGGTCTGTTGGAACTGCTTTCGAGAATAAAAACAGTCTTCTGGCAGATTGGGCAAAGTCAGATGTCAAGCTGTCTTTGAAGGACTCTTGTTTAACCTATGGTTTTCATTCTATGGATCTTTCCTTTTTGCCTCTCAGAGTTTTTCCTATTAAGTTATTTTAGAGAAAAAAGGATGCATGTTTTTCTCCTGTAAGAGGTTTTCTTGTGTTTATTTCAGTAAGTACTTCTCTGAAAAACTATTTTAATATTTGAAATGTGCTGGAGTACCTACATAGAACAAAATAGGTGGTAAAAATAAATTCTCATCTTGGAAATTGAGAGGGCAATTTATTACCTTATCCTCAGCCTTCCCCACTTTTGTTGCAAGCCTAGCACCTTTTAATAAGGTGATTAATTTTAATCTATATTTGAAATTTGGTTCAAATGTGCTAACAAATTTTTACTTAAATGTGCAATCACTTTTACTATAAAATATCTTACATGTGATTGGTTCTCATCTGCTTTAGAAAGGAAATGAGATCCTAATGGTTAAAGTCATTTGCCACATACTTGCTTTGACATGGACATTATGTCTGACTTTATAAAGGAGAGAATTTACCAATGTTATAAAGCGATTAAAAGATGTCTAGATCTGGGATATCTGTCCATATAGTTTTATCAAATAAATTTTATAAAAGATAACTGCACCTCATATGCAATTTGGTATTTTGTGTGAAATGCCAAACTGAAAATTTGCACATTGATGTATGCCAACCTCGAACAAATTTAGAAAACTTTACTATCGTGTGTGGATACTCACTAAAAGCAGGGCTCACCTGTGTGGGGTTTCTTTTTACCTGTTTATGTTACTGTTATTATCCTAATGCAGTTTGCTCTGTTCATTAACAAGTATTTAAGAAAGTAGCTGTTTTGTGTCTAGTGCTGGTTTTGGTAATATAAAGATAAATAAGAACTCCAGCCCTCCCAAATCTCAGAGGTAATCAAGTTTTGAAAATTTAGTGATAGATGTTTTTGATAGCCATTTATAGAAATGTGGGTAAGAAGAGTATTTGGAGGCAAACTTTGCTTGAATCCTGATTCAATCACTTCTTAGTGATTCAAGAAGTTAGTCTTTAATCCTCTTTACTCTTCTGTAAACTGGGTGTAACAGTAGTATCTACTTATGGCAGCTGTAGGATCAAAGGAGATAATGCATATAAAAGTGTTTAAAAGCTGATACAAAATAAGCTCTTAATTAAATATTATCAATACTGACTTTCAAAAGATGATGATAATTGTCCCACAAGCACTGTTCACAGTATTGGATGACTGTAGTTAACAATACTGTATTGTATATTTGAAAGTTGCTAAGAGGGTAGATCTTAAAAGTTATTGTGACAGGAAAAAATTGTAGCAATGTGCGGTGATAATCATCAACTAAATTGAGTGCACTGATCATTTCACAATAATACATATGTCAAATCATCATGTTGTACACCTTGAACAAATACAACACTGTATATCAATTACATCTCAATAAAACTGGAAACAACAACAAGGAAAATGGCATTAGATGTAACTATCTCTGTGTCTAGGCTGAGAACATAGAGTAATATTTTGTTGATAAAGTCGGGGCGCCTGGGTGGCTTAGTCGGTTAAGTGTCCGACTTTCACTTAGGTCATGATCTCGCGGTTTGTGGGTTCGAGCCCCGTGTCCGGCTCTGTGCTGACTGCCAGCTCGGAGCCTGGGGCCTGTTTCAGTCTGTGACTCCCTCTCTCTCTGACCCTCCCCTGCTCACGCTGTCTCTCTCTCTCTCTCCTAGAAATAAATAAAACATTAAAAAAATTTTAAAAAAAAGTCATAATACAACACTTAACCTGGTAGAATGCTTTTCATTTCTCTCCTCATTGTCATTTTAGCATTGGCAGAAAACATTCTAAAATCATATTAATTGAAAAAATTTTTTTGCTGAAAGTTGTGAGAACACTAGTGATAGGAAGGCTTTCAAAGTATTTTAGATATTTGGTGTTCTATAAAAGAGCTCTTTTCTCTTTATAAGTATAAACTATGCCCTTTAGAAGATGTATCTTAGTATATGTGCTGCCAAAGCAAGCACTAGAAGATGTATCTTAAGCTTTATTTATCTTTTAAAATATTTTTTATAGTTTATTTGTTTTTGAGACAGAGAGAGACAGAGAGCAAGTGGAGGAGGGGCAGAGAGACAGGGAGACACAGAATCCAAAGCAGGCTCCAGACCTGTTAGCACAGAGTCTGATGTGAGGCTCAAACCCGCAAACCATGAGATCATGACCTGAGATGAAGTCAGATGCTTAACTTGACTGAGCCACCCAGGTGCCCCTGGAAGATGTATCTTAAGTTTTAAACTGTTGACTTAAGCAATTAGATGCTGACATTGGGAGCCATTTGTTTCTTGACTCATTTAATAAATAACATTTGAACTTCTTTTCTGCCCTAGCTATTCTGCTTTTCTTTAGGAATATAAAGATGAAAAGACCTGACCCCTACCCACCATTTAACCAGATTGGAAGACACAAAATTGCCTGTAAGTTAGGCTATCATGTTCTACAATGGACTTATTAGTAGGGAAGTACAGAGGGAGGAGTGATTAAAGAAAAGACATCATCCCTAACCACACCATAGGCCTCAGAGGAAGTGATAAGCAATGGAAATTATTGCACATGTGTACTCTTATCCCTCTACTTGTTGCATTCAAAGCATTGCCTTTCACTCGAAAATTATTAGCTTCATTATCAAAAGCTCTGTTGAAATCTGATTAATAAGATCACTCACACTTAGCCCAGTAGAAGTTCTTCTCTTTTTTTCTCCTTACAACAGCTAGTACTACCTTCTGTTTTGAAGCAGGAACTCACTAAGTACTGGTGCTTAATATAATGGTAGATACTGGCAAATTTTTTATTATGCTATGTAATAAATATACAATTAATATGTTTTATTAAGCTATGAAATAAGTATGCAATTAATATATTTTTAATTTGTAGGAAGTGTCTGGATGGCAGATCATTCATCCTTCTCTTTCTTGAGTTGTCTACTCTGCCAGTATCTTCCACTGATTTCTGCTTTATTTTGTGATTCATTGATAGAAAGGGAAGTGGAGTTGAGTAAAATCCCCCCTGACACCGTGCAAGTATACATTAATGATTGTAGTGTAAAACCCATCACATACAACCAGAACGATCTTCCAAGGCTCCGTTTACTCAACCTCTCCTCTAATTGTATCAGGACTTTGCCAAATGATGTTCTCTCACATCTGAAAAAGAAATGCCTGAAGGAGCTTCCAGGATTACTTCTTAACTCTACCCTACAAGGAATTACGTTGGTCTGCACCTGTGAATTCATTACGGGCCACACCAAACTACTAAACAACACTGCTTGTGCGGAAATGTTGGAAAGCTGTGGAGATACTTCAGTGGCCATTTCTATAGGACTTTCCCTTCTTTTACTGTTGTTGATCTGCGGAATTGGGTGTGTTTGGCACTGGAAACACCATAACCCAGTGCACCTTACCTTACCAAGGTTTTTGCAAAGGAGAAGCAGCAGGAGAAAAGACTATGCGAAAACACTCTCGAATCCCCTCGCTATCAGCTCAAGGCATAAAATTTCAGCTCAGACCCAAGAGTATACATCTTCTGGAAGAGGGGCTAACACATATGACAACTATGAAAACGTGGAAGTCCGTCCCCCCAGAGCTAAAGGAGAAACTGATAAGGAACTGTATGAGAACACTCGGCCGACCAATTTTGAGGAGCATATCTATGGAAATGAGACATCATCTCAATATTATAACTTCCAGAACCCTAGTACTTCTGAAGTGTCTCAAGATGAAGACATATATATTCTTCCAGATTCATAATAACTTTTCAAAATATTGGGTTTAGTTATGAAAGGATAAATATTCACTGGGACTTTTATTGCACTGATGCCATTGTTAATTCTGTCCTTTGGATGAAACCCAATGATCTTTTGTCTGTCTCCACCCTTCTGAACCTTCTCTCTGTGTATCACTGTGGGTTAATTCCAGAGACCCTCTTTATTCTACTTTTGCTAGATTAATTCTGCATTATTTTATATTGATTCTTCCTTCTCATCGTTACCTGTTACCTTTTTCTGTTATTTCTATCTCTACCATCTTTTCTGGCTCAAGATGGCTGTCAGTCTCCTAACAAGTCTTTCTGGCTCTAGCATCTACACATTCACCCGTGATGCTGCCAGATTTATCTTCAGAAAATATTTCCGATGCCACATCATTCCTTTGCTTGAAACCCCTTAGTGTCTCCTTGTTGCAAAATATGTACTATTTGTAATTCTAACTCTAGGACTTATGATTTCCCACAGTTGGTTCTAGTTTACTTTTCCAGTGACTCCTACTTTCTCACTTCTATGCTTTCCTCATCATTGTATGAGAACTGCCACAGCCACCACTCCTCCATGGCTTTTTGGTCTGCCTCCTTTCAGGCCTAAGTCATATGGTAACTTCTTCCACATGTCTTCTGAATTATTCCAAACCTACATTTACCTTTTTCTTTTCTGATTTCCTAGATTTTTCTGCCTGTTTAACTCTCTGGGAATTCAAACATATGAATGTTTTCTTTGACATTTTACTATTTAATGTCATATGAGAATGTCTTAAATTCCTTGCTAAATAATAAGGAAGTGCCTCATACTCATATTTTAACACCAGTGCCTAGAACATCATATAAGGCACTCAGTATTGTTCAATTGACAAGAATTAAGGTGTGCATTTTGCTCAGTAGTTTTGAGAAAAATCTATTTTTGAGTACTATGTATGTACCTTTAGTCTGCACATGGTGGGGGTAAAACAGCATAAAGAAAGGCATGGGTCTTGAACGCCCGTTGTCTAGTAGGAAAGAAAAGACAATAAATAAACAAATACTGTGCTACTTCTTAAGCTGTGGCTTCTTACCCATAAAGTCTTCCTTTTATATGCTGTTCTGAATTGCTCAGGCTGAGACTCTGCAAGCAACATTTTTCCTTTGCCAAGTGGATCCGTACTGGGCTCTGTTCACAGGGAGCACCGTGGAAGGCTGGTAGGCAATTGGATCCAAAAGGGACTTGCTCTTTCTTGTTCTCCTTGCAGTCCTGGCAGGTACCAATTTGCTCCAGCATCACCAGTTCTTTGCAGTTTCTAGTTTCTTCTGGCCTTCCCAGCATCACCTCAGTTGCAAACTTTCTGAGGTGCCAGCACCAGACAGGTAACAACAGGCTCACCTTAGAATCTGAGCGGCAGCTCCACAGAGCCTCCTCTGGAAGAGACACATGACACCCTCCGAGCTCCAAGTCCTGACCCTAGGCGGGTGGGGGGAAGGGGGGGCTCTCTCCTACGGTCACCGACTCTGCAGCACCTCAGCGTCCTCTTTACATCTTTCCAGCCCACTAATACCTTCTTGCTAATTCTCTGTATTAAATTCTCCCTGGAGAATGTGACAAACTGGTAAGCTTTCTGTCTCCCTGGGTGGACCCTAGTACACAAATAAAAATACTTTGAAGAAAAAAAAACACTTTTTTGTTTTTCAGAGCAACAGGGTTGGGTAGGGATGAATTTTAATGGCATGGTCAAAGAGGCCTCTATAAAGACACACTTAAGATGGATTTAAGGGTGAAAGGAGTTATCCATACAAGTGTGGGATGGGCAGGGATGTGAAAAGCTTTTGCAGATAAAGCCATTGACGTAAATGTCCTAGTTCCTGTGGAGGAACTGCCACAGGACTTATGGACTCAGTGTGTTATGTTTGGTAGGAAAGGGTTAAGATTGGGGATTGTAACAGAGAAGTCGAGAAGAACCACGATTTCTGACTGGAGCAGCAGGGGCAATTATAAAGCATTTCAGTGAGATGAGGAAGACTTAAAGAGGAAACTGTTTTGGAGGCTGTGTCAGGAATGACTTGGGCTCCCAGTAACAGAAAAGCTGATTACACTGACTTCGACACATACACCTTCATTTATTTCAAATAATGTGGACACTGAAGTGAAGCATTTGAGGGCTAGCATATTAGGCTAACGGTACCATCAGAAATCCATGTTTTTGTCTATTTTCTCTCTGACACCCTTCGTGCTGTAACTTTCATCCTCATTTCTATTAGCTCAGGATCACCTAACAATTGTGGAACATGCCAGCCTTACATCTGTGTTCAGGTCCTGAAGGATAAAAGGAAAAGACAACATCAGGAGATATCTATTTATATGTCATTGACCAGAATGGGGATACATGGATACCACCAGGTATAACAGTGGATGGGAAATTGAATTTTGACTTTTAATAGCCTCAAAGGAAAGGAGGCAAGGGAAAAAGGGAGTTGTAAATAGAATTTAAGGCAGTCAACCTACAACCAAAGGGGAAAAATCAATTTTGGACATGTTTATTCTGACATATCCTGAGACCCAAGTAGATATATCCAATTTTCAGGTTTATATACACATTTGAATTTTGAAGGAGAGTTCCTAAGTGGATGTGTACACTTGAGATCCATCAGCAAGCATTTAGGTGGTATCTAGAGGAACAGGGATTTATATGATGACCTAGAGCAAAGAGTAGAGAACCAAATATAAAAAGTATTGCAATCCAGAAGTCCCCCTCAAAGTGCAGTATTTTGATGATAGATTAATGAGGAGAATGTAGCAAAGGAGCCTGAGAAAGAACGGCCAGTGAGGAGGGTAGTAAAGTCTTAGGATCTCTACGAATGGTGGGTGATATTGTGAAATATATATCTTGACACATCCATTACAGGTAATTTTCCAGAGATAGGATGAATATTTGATACTTGTTTATTCTCTTTGGCCAGAAAATATGGGAAAGGACTATGTAAAAGAATAGTTAGACCATGATCTTTCACCAGTTCTTGTGTTGACTATTTTCTTAAATTAATTTTAAGTGCTTTATCAATTGAAAATCTCTTCCTACTTTTCTTACTAACAGTTTTTGGTGGGGGTGGGTAAAAGGGAATAAGGGGTATTATCATTCACCTTCTCTTTTTACTATACATAGTCTTCTTCATCCCTTCTCTGGTTTTGATTCCCTCTTCTCTTTCTCCTTCTCTCATTTCCCATTCCTCCCTCACTTCTCCACCTCAGCCCCCCTACTCTCCCTCCTTCTTCTTTCTCCGTCTCTCTCTGTCTGTCTCCTTCATATTTTTATCTGCTTCTTGCATCCTTTATTAAAATATTTATCCACCTTGCTAACTAAAAAGTAAAAATGTCTTTGAGAGGTAAAGGTAATAAAATCTATCTGCATCTATTGAGAGCAGCAGTTTGCGTTTGTGTTCTTTCATTAGAAACATGACCACATGTACCACAGTTAAAGGAAGAAAGATGTCAGAGATGAGGGAAAGGAAACAGGAGCATCAAATATAATGAGTTTAGTTTCGCTGTATACTCCCAGAAATATAAGCAAGTTCACATTCTGTGACTTATAGCTAATCTCCGTAAGACTCCATGGCCAACATCCAACAGCAGTGAGCACCTGACTTCTTCAGATTGCCTTCAGCCTTCAGCTTGAAACATTTCACTTTAGTCTGCCTTATACATCAACATAAAAGTAATAAGAATATACCCCAATAATGAGGTAGAGTAATATACCCCAATCTATTATTGATATCCACAGCAAAGGGGCCGTTGCTTAGCCCCTTGAAAACGTTGCTTTCCAACATCTCAGTTGTTGCTCAGACACTTAAGGCTGCATCTCTACTACCCACCAATGGTCTGTTACCTCAGTGGTGACCCTCACTCTTCCTTTGATTAATGCCACTTGACCTGCTTTGGTTTAACTGCTATACTCATTCCAACATGTTTCCCAGGATTCCACCTAGACAAAGGCCTTGACCATATTTCTGTCAGGTTCATTTCAGCTCCTGTGATTGGGTGCTAGCTAGGCATAGATATTGATTATTCTAGCAGAAACTTCCTATTCAAGACTAACATGAGGCCGTCTGCTCCACAACCAATCTAGAGCAGTGCAAATCCTTTTTTTCTCTAGAAGATGAATAGAAGCTATTTCAAACCTTGTCATACTCTGTGAATTTTCATTATTGAGTGACAAGCTATTGAACAGTATTAAAATGATATTTTGACTTATGTTTTGCTTTTGCTGCTTGGGGGACAATAACCATGCCAGAGAATCGCTTTGGCTAACTTTTGTTACTGTTAAGACATGAGGACTTCAGACCGGAACAAGGGGGGAAAAAAGAGATACTGCTTCTATTTTTGAAGGTCTGAGAGTCATTGACCATAGTTAGGGTATTTTGTGCTGGATTATAATCATTATCAGCTTTCTCTGCTCTAGAGTCAAGAATGGGAAGCTTCCAGGTAGAGGGGGACTACTTAAAGACATCAGAAGACTGTTGTTTGGATTTTAAGCTTACTATTTGAGGAAACTAATCTCTTTTGACTCAAGGAGTGATTGGCATCAAGAGTGATGCTCACCTCATAGAATTTCCTGGAAGAGTTTGAATAGAACTGATATTTCTTTTCCAAGTGTTTGTATCAGCAAGGCTGTTTGAGCCTGGAATTTTCTTTATGAGATGTAAAAATACAAATTCAATTTCTTCAAGTGATATAGTAGTATCAAGTTATCCTTGAATGAACTTTGGTAGTTTGATATTTTAGGAAATTTGTCCACTGTTATTAATAACATTTCCTTATTATCTTTTTAACATCTATATATGTCAATATCACCTCTCTCATTCTTGATATTGTGTCTTCTCTCTCTTTTCAAATGGTTTTATTGATTTTCTTTATTGTTTGTAGGTTTTCTATTCCATTGATTGCTGCTCTTTATTATATTTTTTCTTCTTAGTTAGCTTTAATTAGCTCATCTCTTTCTTGTTTCTTAAAGTGGAAACTGAGGTCATTGGTTTGAGTCCTTTCTTCCTTGTGTTTATAGATGTTTAGGGCTACACATTTTCCTGAAAGTACTGCTTTAACTGCATCTTACACATTTCGTCTTGTTTTTATTTCTGTTCATAAGAAAATACTTTCTAATTTCCCTTTTTATTATTTTGAAGCTTGTGTTATTTATAAGTTTATTATTTAATTCATAAATGAGAATTTTCCTTATTGATTTATAATTTAAAATCACTGTAGTCAGAAAACATATTAAATATGATTTGAATTCTTTTAGATTTTAAATTTGTTCTGTGGACTAAAATAGGGTTTATCTTGATAAGTGTGTCATGTGAACTTGAAAACAATGTATGTATGTTCTGCTTTTGGGTGTAGTGTGCTATAAATGGCATTTAGTGCCAGTTAGTTCAAGGTGCTTGACAGTATGGTTCAAGTCCCTTATATTATGTTTTTGTTGAGATACAGTTTACATGCCATAAATTTTATCTTTTTAAAGCACACAATTTAGTGGTGGTTACTATATTTACAAAGTTGTGCAAATTTTGTCACTAATTCTAGAACATTTTCATCATTCCTCAAAGAAATTCCCTTGGCAGTAACTCCCCATTTTCCTTTCTCTTATCTCTTAGTTCAGTCTGCTATTAACAAAAATATCACTGAGTGGGTAGTTTAAACAAAGTCTAAACAAACTTCTGGAGTCTGAGAAGCCCCAAGATAAAGGTGTCAGCGAATTCAGCATCTGGTGAGAACGCACTTCCTAGTTCTTAGATCGCCATGTTTTCATTGTGTCTTTATGGTGGCAGGTGGAGGGATCTCCCTGAGATATCATTCATAAGGGCACTAATCCTTTTTATGACCTAATTATCTCCCAGAGTCCTACTTCTAAATACCATCACATTAGGTGTTAGGTTTAAACATATGAACTGGGAGGAGGACACAAATATTCAGTCATAGCATTTGGTAACCACTATTCTGATTTGCATCTGTATAGATTTGACTATTCTAGATATTTCTTGTAAATAGAATCATGTAATATGTTGTCTTTTGTGACTGACATCTTTCACTTAATATAGTATTTTAGCATATATCAGTATTTCATTCCTCTTTATGGTTGAATAATATTACATTGTATGTATGAATATGTTACATTTTGTTTATCCAGTCATCAGTTGATGAGCATTTGTGTCAATTCCTCTATATTCTTACTGATTTTTTTGTCTACTTACTAAACGGTGACAGTTGAATTTTCTGATTATAGTTATGAATTTTGTCTGTTTCTCCTTATAATTTTATCTTCTTTATAGCTTTTTGCCTTATGTATTTAAAGTTCTGTTATTTTTAGGGAAGAAACATTAAGTATTATTATGTCCTCTTGATTATTTGGCCCCTTTGTCATTATCAAATCACAGTCTTTATACTTGGCAATAATCTTTATTCTGAAATATCCTTTGTCTGATATTGGTATAGCCATATCAACTTTCTTTTAATTAGTGGTGGCATAGGATATCTTTTCCGCCCATTCCTTTTAACCCATTTGTGCCTTTATAGTTATAGTGCATTTTTTTTGTAGGCAGCAAAAAAAGCAGTTAGTGTGAAAGTCCTGCTTTCACAT